GTTTGCTAAGACTTCAAGGTATAATCTAACCCAGATCTTTTCCCACAGAGAAACTTGGTGATCACGTTTTTCACATGATGCTCACGTTTGGTGCTCAATTATCCCTCCCCACAAAGATAGGTGGCGTGTGTCTCAGGGTCTCCACTCTGAACAACAAGAAAAAAAAAAATGTCATTAGGAACAGCCTAACGTCACGTCAGACCGTCCCCAGGTTCGTGTTTCGTGAAGTGGCAGTGAGAGATCAGTGCTAACCTGCTCTGCAGGAATAACGGTCCATCCCTGCCTTGACTCTCTGGCTTTTACAATATCTCCAGGAGCTCTACTTCACTCCTAAGCCTAGTCCTACATGATCCTGCACACCTCATCCCAACTACCCACCGGGCTTTAAAGGTAGGTCCATTCAAATTACCTTTCCGCAGGTAGAGCCCCCTATAAAAAAGCCTTTTACTTTTAAAAAAAGACCACCAGAGCATCCTAGCCCACACAAGCTCCTTTCACCTGGACGGGCAGGTAAAACTTCAGCCTAGGTTTCCAGGATTGCATTTATTTTTTAAATTTTTACTCCATTTATCCCATTAAAATACATTTTTTTGTGCACACAGCATTTTTGCACATTTTTGTATATTTACACCAAGTTATTTTTTTGTTTTCACCTGGCTGACTATTTATTTTACACCCATTGTCATTTTTAGTCTGTCTTGTGACTTCTTTGTTTTTTGTTTTTTTTTGTTTTCCCAAAAGCCCTTACCCAAGGCTAATATTTCTGTTCATTTAGCAAGTTTCATTTCTGTAAATTGCATTTAATCTACTTGATTGTTGGTGTATTACCTAACACCTCTGATAAACAGAAGTGAAAGTCGACTTTGGAATTCAGATAGGGGGGTTTAAAAATGTTTTACATTTTTTTTTAAAAAAAGGTAATTTTGAAAGATCCACTTTTTTAATTTTTTTATATTAAATTTACATTTTATTGGCACTTTTTATGGATGTTTGCTGCAAGTGTAAATATATTTTGCAGGATCCATGACATTAGAAGTCACTTCCACTGCACAGAGAAGCCTCTTGGTGTTCTAAAACACACCACCTTTACCTCTTACCCCTTTTTTTGTATTTTTTTGATATTATAACTTTTTTAAAAAATTACAGTGTTTTTAAGCAAAAGTGACAGCTGCCAAAAATCACTGAGTTGAGCCTAATATTGAGTGAAAAGCCCATGGCTGTTGTGACTGTGGTGGCCAATGTGTTTAGTTGTCGTTGTTTGTTTTAACACACCAAGAGCTGAAGTTCTCCTACCCATACTAGTGTGTGTGTGTCATTTGTTTGGGGCTTGTGTGTTTATGTACATGGGAATGAGTAAACCTTGCTTTGACACTTTTGAGGCTAAGGGGGGAAAAATGAGGCTGGGTGTTAGAAGTGGAGGTTAAGTACTAACTCCTAAATGTAAAAAAAGGTTATCTTGGAAGAACTCCTGGGCTTTAAGGGTTAATTGTCCTTGTCTTAAGGGTTACATCTGTTCCATGTTTTACAGACCCTGTGCTTTACACCCCTAAACAAGAGCACTGCTTGCTTTCACTGGCACCCTCAGCTGTGCAAGTCCAGTTTGATCTCACTTACGTTACCCAAAAGAAGGGGGGCTTGGAGGCTCCAGAGCTTTGCTCTCTCTCTCATCTTAGTCCTCAGTTTGGGTTGCAGAGGAACCCGGGGTGTCATTGCAAGCCCTCCCGGTTGAGCAAAGGCTTAATTACAGTCAGTGTCCACGGATCTGCATATCCTATTACACTCAAAGTTGAGCTGAGAGGTCTGGGCAAGGATGCGAGTAGAAAAAAAAAGGGGGGGAAGCTTTGAGTCATCCTAGCAGTGGAGAGAGTCCTGTGCAAGATGTAGATCTGCTGGGATCTGGCTACTGGTGCTTACCAAAAAAAAAGAGAGAGGGAGCCCCCTTACACAAGAACAGCAGCCCAGGAGGGAGGACTAAAAGCCAGCAAGGAAAGAGTTGAGAGCCAGGAAACACAAAAAAAAGAGAGAGAGAGGAGACAGACAGGGTGCTCTGGGAAGATCTGGGGAAATCTTTGGCGCCCTGCTTTTTTAAATGGGATCTCTCAATGCCCACTCTGTGCCTGTGTTTGCTCGTTGTCAGAGTCTACGTGCGCCTCCTGAATCATTCTGTCCATGAGAACTGGCGTCTGATCCACTCTTATCAATGAAGCAGGACATGATGGCGGATGGCCCCAGGTGTAAGAGGCGAAAACAAGCCAATCCACGGAGGAAAAACGGTAAGGACATGGGGGCACAGGAGCCCCCCCTTTTCTTTGATTGCTGTTTTGCTTTTATGGTTGCTCCTTGTTGTTCTTGTTGTTGTGGCTTTGTGCAGAGTTGAGGACCTCAGTGCTAAGTGTCAGGGATGGAGGGCTGACCCCCGTAGTTCTTCTCCTCATTCTGTCCAAGGGTGAGTGAGGGAGGATAGCAGCTGGCTCGGGGGGCTCGCTGGAGCACCCCTAGATCTGGAGGCAGGCAGGCTCAAAACTTTGTGCGGCTCACATAACGGTTCCTGAAGGCTGTACAGCTCAGGCAGTGACAAGACCCGCTAGCTTCCCTTTCTTCTCCGTCCCCCTCCTCAGTCTCTGCAGGCTCAGCTTACAAGCAAGGGCTGGACAGGCAAGCAACAACAGCAAGCAGCCTTAGCCACCCAGCAGCAGATGCATGCATGCATGCGGGGCTAGCTAGCTGAAAGCCTATCCCCCCTCCCTTCCCTTCCTTCCCCTTCGCCCCATCCGAGCCTCAGCAAGTCTTGCAAGCCAGCTTTGTCACTTAGTCGCTGCTTTCTCGTTTGTCTCAATGACCCAAGACCCCCTTCATGTTCCTAGGAGGAGGTACTTCTGTCTGTGTTGTCAGCATGTGCATTGGGTCTCGAATTCTTTTTTTTTTTCCTCTTCCTTGGCTTTTAGTGGTCATGGGGGCTTCTGATAGACCACTTCTCAGTCTCTTCCCAGATCACAAGCCCCTGCTCCAGCACTTCTCCACTACTTCAGAAAACTTTTATTTAAAGGACAGGCTGAATAGTCTCTGGGTTCTTCACCACCAGCTTCAATTATCTGTGCCCCTCTTCTTTCAGCTTAACCCTTCCTAGGCCAGCCTGCTCTTTCAGCATTCGCTTAA